GGGAGGCGAAATCGGCGGTGGTGATTAGAAAGTAACACAATCGGCTGATAAATCGTGAATTTACGTAATTTTATCATCCAAAGCGGTTGATCGTAAAAACTGTAAAATTATTTATTCACTCTTCGGGAATCGCCATCAATATCGCACAGAGAAATACAGTAAAGCCAACTGCAGTGATTGCTGCCAAACCCACAATACACATGAAGCCGATACGAAAACGTAAGGTCATCAACTTTTCGCCTCGGAAGACATAGGTTTGAACTTCCCCCTCCCTAACCACCACCCAGCTTTCCTTATTTCTATATATGGCAGTCCGTTGATAGGCCACTCCCTCCTTCCTGTAAAATTAATTGTATCAACATATATCATTCATGAAAGCAAGGTACAACCAAAAAAGAAAAAAGATGGAAGGGGAAGTAAACGGTTTTGACGGAAGGGAAAGGGACACAAAAAGTACACTTTAGTCATGCATACACATACGGCCTACGAGCAGTTTGATACGAGATCCATGAATGAGATCTATTTGAATTTGAATTTGTGGAAACTAAGAGTAAGTTGATAAGATCGATTTTCATGTAGGATACCAATACTATGAATTGTATTGTTATATTGTTATGATATATATATATCACTGGTTCGCGAACAAGAATGGTGTCAACTCAACAACAATAATAAGGGAAAAACCAGTACGGCAACATTATACTATTTAAATCCTGGATGGCTTCTAGACATCTCAACTGGTGCGTACTGCAGCCTGGTGAGTGGACCACAAAACAAACATGAAGATGGCAAAACCTGGGTGATGAACAAGCCCTTTCGTCATTAAATTATTGCAATCGTTTTGGTGTTTTTGCGCTTTCGCTCATTGAGATTACTCGAGAAGCTTTATCTCCACCGGCTCTGTTAACCCCGATATATCAGCCTCGCAATGAACCCAGTTTTGGATGAGTCCCAATGCCCGATTACGTAATTATCGTCCAGTCGCGTTATCTTTGCAGGTGGCTCCACTAGCATACTGGAAATGGGAGATCATTTGAATTGTCACATACAGGGACGCATTTTAAGATATACTATCGTTTGTCAACCAGATTTGTCAAGCAACCAGGCCCAAACAAGTGGATAGAACAAGAAGCGTACCACCCCACCCACCAGGCTTTTGTCAGAATCCGCTATCCATCCCGTGCATGAATCCAGTCTGTTACAAATGAAACATAAACGATGACTAAAAGAGACTGACTGTAGCCTTTTTAGCGTTAGGGCGACGATCATCCTTCGAACCCGCGGAATGAACAAAATGCGGAATGAACTGATTCGTGAGAAATGACCTCGGCGACTTCAAGAACTTTTTATAATCTGATAAACCGTTCAGTAAACAGATCAGATTCAAAATCAATCAGAAATAAGAGTGCTTCAAAAGAGCTGCATCCACAGCTTCACAATCTAGGTAGCATATGCAAGTCCGATATATTTGCTTCGGTGATATTTACTTCCAATAACTGTTTCTACTGCGTGTTTCATGGAAAAATTAAGTGTGCATGCAAATACACAGAATTTCACACTGAAAAACTTACCAACAACTGTGGCATTGAGTGAACTCCTGCGACCTGGAGCGTTACTTTCACCTTGATGAACGTGAACAATCAGACTGATATTGGGTCGGGACGAAATAACACGTTGCGGAATAATACCGTCCTGGCAACCAATACGTGTAATCTGCAGTGGATAGTTTGTTTCAGTCGGGCTCCGTTCGATGACCGGACTGAGATCATCACGCAAACTGTTCTCCTTGATGTGATCCGTAGGCAAGCACAGAATCACATGAACAAAGGAATTCACAGTTCGAAGAAATGAAGGAAGATTCGTTTGGTTGGCCTGAAACAAGTGCGCCGAGAGCAAAGGGTTCTTCATGAGACTAAGGCTAAGCGCTTAAGTCAAGGATACTGGTGTCGGGGTTTTATTGTCATTAAATCAGTTCAGTTACAGCTAAAACAACCACTGACCATGAACTGTTCTGAAGCGATTTTGGTTTCTGTCTTTTGGCTGTCTACCTGGATGAAGGAGAGGAAATATTAGAATGTTGAAGGCAGAGTCAATGTGAAAATGGAGATTAATTAAGACAGTTTGCAAGGACAGTTGGTAGATGTATGAGCGTCATATCACTTATTGTCTCGAGTCATCGGTTACGCTGATCCCAAGGTCTTTATTCAGGAAGCTGAACGTGACCTGGTCAGGGTTTTTATACCCTCATACCAGGTCTTAGTTAGACCACCCTTCACTTTTTTCCACCCATTACCTGCCTCAACAAGCATCGTGGCAATTATCATGTGATATGTGTAACACGCCCCAACCAACTTAACCCATGGAAGTCGACCACTTGCTCTAGTGGGTGATCGCGATTACCTAAAACCGCACCCAGCAAAAAATTGGTCATGCTTATGAAACTGCACTTGCCTGAAAACGTGCTGTTATTCGATCGAAAGGGTTCCCGAGCCGATAAAATGTTATTTCATAG